GTATTAATTACTTTTTTTATTTAAAAAAAAAACAAATTAATTTAAGTGTCATAAAAACCAAACAAGTGAGCCAAACATCAGCCGGTCGTGTTTTGCTCGTTCCGCCCCCCCCCCCCCCCCAATTCCCCCCCCCCCCCCCCCTCAATTCCCCACCATCTCGCCCGGCTGCAGCTGGCAACGCGGAAAGCGAGGCAGGAATGAGATCACGGGTTCTCCGTGCTACCGGTTCATATCGGCTCGTACGAACCGGTTGTAAAAAAAAAAAAAGAAACTGGCGAACCGGTTTTTCCGACAATCAGCTGTGATGCGCTATTTATATTAGCTAAACCAGCAGGATGTTCTGCTTTCTGGCGAATCCTAAATCGCATGGCACAGAGAATTCTCCCCCTCGCTGTTCTACTTACATTACCTTTTGGACACTCTGCGCATGCGCGGGAGGTCCTGCGCACGCAGGCACGCTCACAATGTGATCGAACAGAAAGCAAAGGTAAGTGGATTTCACCCCAGAATAAGATGCGCCATCGAGCGTCGCATTTTCTTTTCTTTCTTTTTTTTTGAAAAGTTTTTTTAATTTTTTGTTCTCTATATACAATTATAGGTATACATTCACATAGTTATTATTCTTTTTTACATTCGTCGTATTTATACATTTGTCATTCCATTTACAGGGTTATAACATACCATTTGGTTTGCTTTGTTTACCAACCTTCACCTGTTTTGACACCACTTTCTTTTCCCCCTCCCTCCTTCCCTTCTCTACTTTCTTCCTTCCTCTCTCCTTTCCCTTCCTTCTCCCCTTACCTCCCCCTACTCCTCTCTCCCTCTTCCCCTTCCCACCCTCTCTCCTTCTCTCATTCTCCCTTCCATCCTCCTCTCCTCTATCTTCCTTCCCTCCTCTTCATCTCATCTCCTCCTTTCTTTTTCTATTGTTTGTAGGTGTCTCTTCCGGCTCTTAATTTTTATTTTCTTGGGGTGGTATTTCCACAGACCCAAAAATAGTTGAATATCATTTCTTGTTCCCTTTCCTCCCCAAATCTATCCTAATTATGTTTTTTTTCCCCTTTGTATCTTACTTTTGAATATATACTTATATATTATTATTTTCTTCCCTATTTCCCCCCCTCTTCCCCCCCTTTCTAGCTAATGGCGTATCACCTGGGTTCCATAACTTCCCCTTACTTTCTTTTCTGTATGTCTTCCTCTAACCATTCATAAAATCTTCCCCATGTCTTGAAGTACACCTCTTTATCCTTTATTGTCAAAGTCAACTTGTCCATCTCTGCGCAGTCTAGATTTTTAAAAAATTATTATCTCCTCCTCTGTCGGTATCTTACTTAATTTCCGAGTGACGCATTTTCTGTCTTTCTGTCACTTACTCCAGGGGAGACATCCTCTCTGCGAGATTACGCCGCTAACACCATGAGAGAATTCTTAGGCATGTTCGGCTACGACGACCAGAACATGCGGGACGAGCTGGCTCGCAAGATTAGCTTTGAGAAGCTGAATGCGCCTACCTCAGAGAACAACCCAGGCACCGTGGCGGGAGAAGACCCCGTGAGCAAAAGAGCCCGTTTTTCCAAATACGAGGAGTACATCCGCAAGTTGAAGGCTGGGGAGCAGGTCCCGTGGCCCATTCATCCCCTGAAGACCGAAGAGCTGACCAGTAAGCTGGTCAAAGAGGGGCCCATAGGCTTGGGGCAAGTCATCCGGTTGCCAGCTCCCGAACCGTCACTCCTGCCCGAGACGAAAGCCACCATTTTGCCTCTGCCTTCGTCCAGCAGCTCCCAGATGCAAGGGCTGATGTCGCGGGCCTCCAAGTACGATTTCTTCATCCAGAAGCTCAAGACCGGGGAGACGCTCCGGCCACAGAACGGCAACACCTACAAGAAGACGTCCAAGTACGACTTGGAGAACGTCAAATATTTGCACCTCGTCAAGCCCGGAGAAGGCAACCCGGATATGGGAGGAGCCATCGCCTTCAAGACTAGCAAAGTTGGCCGCCCGTCCAAGTACGACGTCAGGAACATCCAGAAGGTGACGCCGGTCAAAGCGCCGGCCCCTAGCCTGGGTCCCAACCCTCTCGCCAGCACTCCCAGCAGCACTCCGGTCGCTGGCCCTGAGCAACCCGTCTCTCTGCCCTTCAGCACTCCGGAATACCTTAAGTCCACTTTCTCCAAGACGGATTCCATCACCACCGGAACAGTTTCCACTGTTAAGTAAGTCTACCGCTGGTTAATGGGGAAGACACGGGGAAGATCAAGGCTGCCGGGCTGCAGCTTTTCTCCAACATGGCCCCCTCTCTGCGGGGGCAGAGCTGAGAAAGACCATGTTGTCTGAGTGATTGCAGTCCTCGGCACATCTGCAGGTTGCCAAGCTGGGGTCGAGAGCAGAGGTGGGATCCTACCGGTTAAACAACCAGTTTGCTGAATGCGTGCGCTCCGCACCGCTCTCGCATGCCTCTGACGTGCCTGATGCGCGCTGCATGCGTGCGCGCAGTTCACAAGAAAACAGTTGAGGTGTGGCAATCCACTCTGCCACTCCTATCAGCTGGACTTCAAAAGAGGGAATATAGGTGAGTTTAGCGCAGGGGCGGGCCCAGCTGAAAGTCGGAGCAGACCGGTTTGCTCCCAGCTGATAGTCGGAGCAAACCAGTTCGCTCTCAGCTGATAGTCGGAGCGAACCAGTTCACTCCCAGCTGATAGTTGGAGCAAACCGGCTTACTCCCAGCTGATAGTTGGAGCTAGCGGTACGCCTATCAGCTGGGCTTCAAAAGAGAGAATTTAGGTGAGTTTAGCGGAGGGATGGGCCCAGCTGAAAGTCAGAGTGAACCAGTTCGCTCTCAGCTGATAGTTGGAGTGAACCGGTTCGCTCCCAACTGACAGTAGGAGCTACCTGTTCACCCGAACCGGTCCGAACTGGTAGAATCCCACCCCTGGTCAAGACCCCTGGTAGAATCCCACCCCTGGTCAAGACCCCATGGATGTACTCTAGGAAAGCTTTTTGTGTCCTCCTTTGACTCCGAAGGGCGACAGGGAAGACGGGGGGCGTAGAACAGGTTGAAAGGTAGATGAAATAACTTCATGGGTGAGAAGGCGCAGGTGCTGGGATCAGAGGTCTCCAACCTTAGCCACTTTAAGCCTGGCGGATTTCAACTCCCAGAATTCCCCAGCCAGCAAAGAATTCTGGGAGTTGAAATCCTCCAGGCTTAAAGTGGCCAAGGTTGGAGACCCCCTGCGCTAGGAAATAGCTCTGGGATCAAATACGATGTGACACTTAAGGCTGGAAATCCTGGATTTACGACCACAGCTGAGCCCCAAAATTCCCGCTGTTAAGTGAGACATTTGTTAAGTGAGGTCTGCCACTGTTGTTAAGCGAATCACTGCAGTTGAAAAGTTAGTTAACCCAGTTGTTAAGTGAGCCTCCCTTCCCCCATCGACTTTGCTTGTCAGAAGGTCACCAGAGGGAATCACGTGGCCGTCATAAATGTGAGTCAGCCGCAGGCAGAAATGTTGGGCTCAACTTTGGTCGTAAATCCAGGACTACTTCTATTCCTGGGGCTGCAGGTAGTCCTTGACTTACAACATTTCATTTAGTGACTGTTCGGAATTACAGCAGCACTGAAAAAAGATTTATGAGCTTTTTCACACTTAATGACCATCCCAGCATCCCCATGGTCACGTGATCAGGATTCAGACGTTTGGCAACCGAATCCTATTTATGACGGTTACAGCGTCCTGGGGTCGCACAATCCCTTTTGGCGACCTTCTTAACAAGCAAAGTCAGTGGGGAAGCCTGATTCACTTAACGTCCATGTTACCAACATAAGAACTGCAGTGATTTGCTTAACAACGGTGCCCGGAAAGGTCATAAAGTGGCACGAAATTCACTGGATGTCTTGTCTCGCTTAGCAACTGAAAGTTTTGGGGCTCAGTTTTGGCCGTAAGCCGAGGACTACCTGCATTAGTGACCGATAGGGATAAAAACGGGGCGAGGGGACCGAGACAAAAGGGTATTTCGTAGTTTCTCTTTGGCTACAACAAGTAGCAAAATGTGAGCCTTTGGGCCTGATCCGGCCCGGATCTTCTGAGGATCTTACACCAAGTTGGATGGTCTGAGGTAAATCACCAAGGCTTTCTTATTTTGGCGGGAAATCTCCTACAAATGGGAATTGCGGTAGTTGAGTTCCTGCAAAAGAACTTGATGGACCTTTTCAGCTGAGGTCCCTGCTTCTGACTTCTTTGGGCTCAGTCGATACAGCTGATCCTCGACTTACAACAGTTCTGTTTAGTGACCGTTCAGAATCAGGCTCAGAATCGAGCTGGGAGGGACCTTGGAGGTCTTCTAGTCCAACCCCCTACTCAAGCAGGAGACCCGGTATTCCGTTTCAGACAAGTGGCTGTTCAAAGCCGCCACGGGCCCAGAAAACCTGACTTTACGACTGTTTTTCAGAGTTACGGCCTCCGTAGCGTCCCCCAGGATCGTGGGATCGAAATTCAGATGCTTGGGCAACTGGCTCCTATTTATGACCGTTGCTGTGTCCTGGGGTCACACGATCCCCTTTTGCGACCTTCAGACAAGCAAATTCAGAGGGGGGGGAGCCAGATTCACTTAACAACAGGGTTGCTAAACTTATCCACTGCAGCGATTCACTTAACAACTGTGGCAAGGAAGGTGGTAAAATGGGGTAAAGCTCACTTAGTAAACGTCTCCTTTCACCACAGGAATTTGGGGGGGTCCATTGTGGTTGTAGGTCAAGGACCACCTGTACGCAGGGATTGATCCACCCCACCCCACCCAAGCCCCTGTTTTGCCCTGGGTACAGTGGCTGGATAGCAATAGCCCTTAGACTTATATGCCGCTTTGCAGTGCTGCACAGCCCTCTCTAAGCGGTTTAAAGAGTCAGCCTCTTGCCCCCAATAATCTGGGTCCTCATTTTACTGACCTCGGAAGGATGGAAAGTTGAGTCAACCTTGAGCTGGTCAGGATTGAACTCCTGGCTGTGGGCTGAGTTTGTCTGCAATACTGCATTCTAAACACAAAAAAGGAAGGAAGGAAGGAAGGAAGGAAGGAAGGAAGGAAGGAAGGAAGGAAGGAAGGAAGGAAGGAAGGAAGAAAGGAAGAAAGAAAGAAAGAATAGCACTTAGACTTGTATACCACTTCACATGGCTTTGCAGCCCTCTCTAAGCGGTTTTACAGAGTCAGCCTCTTGCCCCCAACAATCTAGGTCCTCATTTGACCCACCTCGGAAGGACGGAAGGCTGAGTCAACCTTGAGCTGGTCAGGATTGAACTCCTGGCTGTGGGCTGAGTTTGTCTGCAATACTGCATTCTAAACACAAAAAAGGAAGGAAGGAAGGAAGGAAGGAAGGAAGGAAGGAAGGAAGGAAGGAAGGAAGGAAGGAAGGAAGGAAGGAAGAAAGGAAGACAGAAAGAGATATG